ATTTAGATTACGAGTTTTAGTCAAGAATATAGTAATTAGAAATAAAAAAAGAATCCAAATTTAGATTGATATGGTTTTGGTTCAAGTTCAGTTTTGTTATTTATATTGGGAATTTTCGACTGAAAGAATAATCATGTGGATTGAGAAATCTTGTTGAAGTTTTTCACTGTAATTTCTTTAAATGACAAAAATATTCGATTTGTTCACAAGTGAGTTTGGATTTTCGTTTGAAATCCTTTAGTTGTTTCAAAAATAAATGTTATTCTCAAATGTAGATAAGTGAAACCAAAATTTTGTTAGGAGTTTTTATTTGATGTTGGTTCGATATATCGTGATTGGCATCTTGGCTTGAGTAAACAAATGGTACGATAGTCTTCTTCAAATACTGAAATAGCATTTTTAGAAGGAGAAATAAATAAAGTGAGTTCTTCATTAGTTGTGAATCAGTGTACTACAATTAGTGACTTATATACAAATTCACTTAATGAAATCAACCATAAATAAACCGAAATCACAATAACCGGATATAACCACAAAACCAAAATATAACCAAGTCTATGCTCTTTGCGCAATCAGGCCAACGTGAGGTAACTTCCTTTAAGTGGGCTTTACCATCACATTGTCGACTAATTTGGGCCCATATTTTGTTTGTATAGCCTATTATTAGATGGTGGTGTCTTTTTTGGTTATAGTCTCAACAAGACAACAAGCATTGTTGTTAGATGAGTCAGGTGTGTTAATTTATTGATAGGTTCAGACCAAGAATTGTATCTTTGTTTCGGAAAAAAAACTTCAACTCACCAACCATGTGTTGTTCTGCATTTGACCATGCAGCTTATTTTTGCTGTTATTATTCGTTTCATGTAAATATCTGAAGTACTCACAGATAATACCAAAGCTACACTCTCATCAGACTATGAAATTGAAAATTTGAAATGATGGCATGCCATTAAATTATTACGATTGAATTGCTTACAACTCCTCCATCACATCAACCAACAATATAAATATATTTAAGAAATTTATAAACAGTGATTGTAAGTTGTAACTGTAAACGCAAAATCAGAATTCTTAATAGAAAAACAATAAAGTGTAATCATGAAATTATCTACCTTTTCAGGTTACCAAAAAAACTAGTAAAACAATCTTAAGATTACATATTTTATCCACCAAGAAGCATTAAGTTACAGAGTCAAAGGATCAAAATAAGAGTGGGAAGAAAATGATGAAATTTTGACCGCGTGGGGTCTCACTCTCTCCTCCCACAAAACAACATTTTGCAGAGCTTTTCCACTTCACTTAACTGCTTTCTTGGCCCATCTCACTGAATAGGTTTTACGTCCGTAATGATATTATTTCCGTTATACTATTTGCCATTTGGATTTATTAGGTGAATTTGATTTAAGGTATATGCGATAGAATAACCAATATCATGTTATTCCAATTCAACTACTAGATCACCATGACTTGGCTTTGACATAGAGATCACCATGACTTGGCTTTGACATTAGTCGTCACGC